TGGCCCTGTATGCCTTTTATCACAAATCACTGTGTAAGAATCTCTTTTTTAGCGGTTTCTTACATGCAGTCACATGACAGCATGGCGCCGGGTCATACGATGCAGCTGCTGCAAGGAGACCCTTCTCCCGCACAACAACAGATAGAGAAGCGAATGCCATCAGGTAACATCAATGCACTCCGTTGCCGAGCCGTCCAGCCGCGGCGGCGTGACGTCAGCACGTAAGGCTCCACCCGACGCGTTTCGTGCACATGCACTAGTAGACTGTCATGAGGGGCAAGTAGATTCTTACGAGGGGCAAGTAGATTCTTACGAGGGGCAGGTAGATTCTTACGAGGGGCAGGTAGATTCTTACGAGGGGCAAGTAGATTCTTACGAGGGGCAAGTAGATTCTTACGAGGGGCAAGTAGATTCTTACGAGGGGCAAGTAGATTCTTACGAGGGGCAAGTAGATTCTTACGAGGGGCAAGTAGATTATTACGAGGGGCAAGTAGATTCTTACGAGGGGCAAGTAGATTCTTACGAGGGGCAAGTAGATTCTTACGAGGGGCAAGTAGATTCTTACGAGGAGCAAGTAGATTCTTACGAGGAGCAAGTAGATTATTACGAGGAGCAAGTAGATTATTACGAGGGTCAAGTAGATTGTCACGAGGGTCTAGTAGACTGCCATGAGGGACATGTAGATTATTACGAGGGGCAAGTAGATTATTACGAGGAGCAAGTAGATTATTACGAGGAGCAAGTAGATTATTACGAGGAGCAAGTAGATTATTACGAGGAGCAAGTAGATTATTACGAGGGTCAAGTAGATTGTCACGAGGGTCTAGTAGACTGCCATGAGGGATATGTAGATTGTCATGAGGGACAAGTAGACTGTCATGGGGGACAAGTAGATTGTCATGGGGGACAAGTAGACTGTCACGAGGGACAAGTAGACTGCCACGAGGGACAAGTAGATTGTCAGGAGGGACAAGTAGACTGTCACGAGGGACAAGTAGACTGTCACGAGGGACAAGTAGACTGTCACGAGGGACAAGTAGACTGCCACGAGGGACAAGTAGACTGCCACGAGGGACAAGTAGACTGCCACGAGGGACAAGTAGACTGCCACGAGGGACAAGTAGACTGCCACGAGGGACAAGTAGACTGCCACGAGGGACAAGTAGATTGTCAGGAGGGACAAGTAGACTGTCATGAGGGACAAGTAGATTGCCACGAGGGACAAGTAGATTGTCACGAGGGACAAGTAGATTGTCATGAGGGACAAGTAGACTGCCACGAGGGACAAGTAGACTGCCACGAGGGACAAGTAGACTGCCACGAGGGACAAGTAGACTGCCATGAGGGACAAGTAGATTGTCAGGAGGGACAAGTAGACTGTCATGAGGGACAAGTAGATTGCCACGAGGGACAAGTAGATTGTCACGAGGGACAAGTAGACTGTCACGAGGGACAAGTAGACTGCCACGAGGGACAAGTAGACTGCCACGAGGGACAAGTAGACTGTCATGAGGGACAAGTAGATTGCCACGAGGGACAAGTAGATTGGCGCATCAATTTAGTCTCTGGACAAGTAGTTTTTTTTTTTTTTGCAAAATTTCCACAACCCTGTAATAGCACCTGAACCTGCGTTTTGCGATCGCGGGCAAAAATGCAAAGATTCTGCCGTGATCCCAAAACACAGAGATGTAAATGGAGCTGCCCTGGTTCACACATACACCTTTCTCGTTTTCATACTCACAGATTTGCATGACAGGCTAAAAATTATGTGTTCTTGTTGAGGTGATTCACACACACAATCCCCACGTGACCCACACGCCATTATGAAAAGGGTCCTTGGCGGGTTTGTAGCTGTGCGTTCTAGACTGGCAAGTGATAGATTACAGTGGCATGCGGAGATAAAAATGACAAATTGCGCAATGCTTATTATAGATTCCATTCATGTTGATAACATTTCAAACGCGATGCGGTTCTGCTTCGAGATTGTTGCGTTTATAAATCACACTGAAATCGCTGCAAACTGCATTGCATGACGCTTGTTGCCCAAACGAATGGCATCTGAAACGCGCGCGCTCCTTTTTTTTGTTTTTTTTTTCATTTCACCGGAGTATTTTAAAATCGCGGGTAGAATCGCCCAGTTGCGAATGCGGCATTAGATGCAATTCATTTTAATGGCTCCTGAAAGCACGACACGGTTCTGGCATAATACATCGCGCTGCGGTCGCGGCAAACCTCTTCGCTTGAACCTTGGTGCCCTAAAGAAACTCCTTAACTTTTTGGAGGTGACGAGCTTCAAAAAAACAAATCTGAAGAATATATTAAAAAAAAATATATATTTAAAAAAAAAATATTCTGCAGATCTTTTTAACATTTTAACATCTATTTTTACAAATATTTGTAAATGCCTTCCAAAAATGTAGATTTGTATTTTTAAAGACATACAGTATATTTGAAATGTATTTTTTAAAAATATCTTTCATATATTTTGCAATAAAAGCACATCTCAACATGCAGTGTATGTGTATATATATATATATATATATAGATATATATAGATATATATGTATCTGTGTGAAGATATATATATATTTTTATATATATATATATATATATATATTTTTTTTTTTTTTTTAATATATATATATATATATATGTATATATATGTATGTATATTTATGTATGTATATGTATATACAGTTGCAAGAAAAAGTATGTGAACCCTTTGGGATTACGTGGAGTTTTTGCATGAATTGGGCATAAAATGTGCTCTGAACGTCATCTAAGTCACAACAATAGAAGAACACAGTCTGCTGAACATAATACTACACAAACATTAGATGTTGCCATGGTTTAATTGCACATAACATGTAAACATTCACAGTGCAGGGAGGAAAAAAGTATGTGAACCTTTGGACTTAATAACTGGTTGACCCTCCTTTGGCAGCAATAACCTCAACCAAACGTTTCCTGTAGTTGCAGATCAGACCTGCACAACGATCTGGAGTCATTTTTTGGACCACTCCTCTTCACAAAACTGTTTCAGTGTAGCAATATTCTTGGGATGTCTGGTGTGTGAATCGCTCTCTTAAGGTCATGCCACAGCATTTCAATCGGGTTGAGGTCAGGACTCTGACTGGGCAACTCCAGAAGGCGTATTCTGTGCTGTTGCAGCCATTGTTTTGTTGAATTACTTGTATGCTTTGGGTCATTGTCCTGTTGCATCACCCATCCTCTGCGGAGCTTCAGTTGGTGGACAGATGGTCGTACGTTTTTCATGCAAAATGTCTTGATAAACTCTGGAATTCATTTTCCCATCAACGACAACAATCCGTCCAGGCCCTGAGGCAGCAAAGCAGCCCCAAACCATGGTGCTCCCTCCGCCATGTTTCACAGTGGGGATGAGGTTTTGATGTTGGTGTGCTGTGCCTTTTTTTCTCCACACATAGTGTTGTGTGTTCTTCCCAAACAACTCAATCTTGGTTTCATCTGTTCACAGTATATTTTGCCAGTAGTGCTGTGGAACATCCAGGTGCTCTTTTGCAAACTTCAAACGTGCTGCAATCTTCTTTTTGGACAGCAATGGCTTCCTCCGTGGTGTCCTCCCATGTACTCCATTCTTGTTTAATGTTTTCCTTATTGTAGATGTGTCAACAAAAATGTTAGCATGTGCCAGAGATTTCTGTAGGTCTTTAGCTGACACTCTGGGATTCTTCTTTACCTCATGCAGCATTCTGCGCTGTGCTCTTGCAGTCATTTTTACAGGACGACCTCGCCTAGGGAGAGTAGCAACAGTGCTAAACTTTCTCCATTTGTAGACAGTCTGTCTTACCGTGGACACATGAACATCAAGGCTTTTGGAGATACTTTTCAGCTTTGTGCAAGTCAACAATTCTTGATCGTAGGTCTTCTGAGAGCTCTTTTTCTGCGAGGCATGGTTCACATCAGACAGTACTTCTTGAAACCAGTAAACCCAAAACAGGTGTGTGTTTTTTAAGGGCAGGAGAGCTGTCAGCAACACATCCAATATCATCACACTGATTGGAGTCAAGGTTGGCTCACTCCTGGCTCCAATTAGCTCTGGGAGAAGTCATTAAGCTAGGGCCTCACATACTTTTTCCTCCCTGCACTGTGAATGTTTACATGTTATGTGCAATTAAACCATAGCAACATCTAACGTTTGTGTAGTATTATGTTCAGCAGACTGTGTTCTTCTATTGTTGTGACTTAGATGATGTTCAGAGCACATTTTATGGCCAATTCATGCAAAACTCCACGTAATCCCAAGGGGTTCACATACTTTTTCTTGCAACTGTATGTATATTTATATATGTATATATTTATATATTTATGTGTGTGTGTATATATATTATATATATATATATATATGGCAATATATTTGGAAGAATATTTTTTAAATATATTTTTCTTCCATATGGTATGTTGTCACTTTCACCATACCTGCAAATCGTGTCGTGTTTCCAGTTTTTCGTTCTAGCCCGTTTCAGTAGCTCTTTTACACTTTGTGCTGCAGCCAGACACAAAGTACCATTAAATTGGTAAGTGGTTCTTTTTTTTTTCTTTTTTTTTTTAAAGCCCCCCCCACTCTGGACAGCTGCACTGCAAAAAGTTAAATGCTCGTTAAGTCTAGGCTGTGATTGACAGCTGTGGGGGCCAATGAGGAGAGCTAGGGAGGCCTGGGGACAGCCAAGGCTCTCATGCACATCGCTGGGCGGAGATCAGGCTCAGGTGAGTATTAGGTTTAAAGCGGAGCTCCACCCAAAAGGGGAAGTTCCACTTTAAGGCCTCGTACCCCTGCTCCCCGTTATGGATCGTCAACTCTGTGGGGGGGGGGGAGACCTGATTTTGACATGAACCCTAGGCGATCGAAGTGGAATTTGGGTGCACATAGGACGTACTAGGACCCTCCAGTGTCCTCCAGCATGGCGTCAGGTGGTGGCCTTGCTCTGTTGGGTATTGCTGATCCTTTGCCCCTCTTGCAGGTCCTCGGCTCTGTGAAGAATCGGATCGAAGCGTTTGCAGCCTCTCAGGACGATTTCCCCACACTACTCTTCAAAGCAAAGAAGTTTCTGATCGCCCGAGGAAAGCTGGACTGGAGTGAGGGGCCCCAACTCTGTCCCCTGCCCTACGCCGCTCTGACACTCTGGGTAAGTGATCCCCCCCACTGACCGAACCTTAACCACCTCCATACCGGGCATTGTCGCCCCCCTTCCTGCCCAGGACGATTCTCCGCTTTCAGCGCTATCGTACTTTCAATGACAATTGCGTCGATCATGCAACATATTGGACGTTTTTATCATTTTTTTTTAGACAGACAGAGCTTTATTTTGGGTGGTCTTTAATCAGCATTGGGGTTTTTTTATTTTTTTGCTAAATTACAAAACAAGACTAATAAGTTTGGGGGGGAAAATTTTTTTCTCTGCTTTTCTGTAATAAAATTTTGCAAATAAGTAATTTTTCTTCTTTTCTAATGTGCACTGAAAGACGGGCACTGTTGGGCTGCACTGACGGGCGCTATTGGCTGCAGTGACGGGCACTGTTGGGCTGCACTAATGGGCACTGTTGGCGGGCTGCACTGATGGGCACTGTTGGGGCTGCACTGATGGGCACTGTTGGGCTGCACTGATGGGCGCTGTTGGGCTGCACTGATGGGCACTATTGGACTGCACTGATGGGCACTGTTGGGCTGCACTGACAGGCGCTGATGGCACTGTTGGACTGCACTGATGGGCACTGTTGGACTGCACTGATGGGCACTGTTGGGCTGCAGTGATGGGCACTGTTGGGCTGCAGTGACGGGCACTATTGGACTGCTCAGTGACGGGCACTATTGGACTGCACTGACGGGCACTGTTGGGCTGCACTGACGGGCGCTATTGGGCTGCAGTGACGGGCACTGTTGGGCTGCACTAATGGGCACTGTTGGCTGCACTAATGGGCACTGTTGGGCTGCACTGATAGGGGCACTATTGAACTGCACTGATGGGCACTGTTGGGCTGCACTGATGGGCGCTGTTTGGGCTGCACTGATGGGCGCTGTGTTGACTGCACTGATGGGCCTGTTGGGCTGCACTGACAGGCGCTGATGGCTGCACTGACAGGCGCTGATGGGCACTGTTGGGCTGCACTGATGGGCGCTGTTGGGCTGCACTGATTGGCGCTGTGGGCTGCACTGATGGGCACTGTTGGACTGCACTGATGGGCACTGTTGGACTGCACTGATGGGCACTGTTGGGCTGCACTGATGGGCGCTGTTGGGCTGCACTGATGGGCACTATTGACTGCACTGATGGGCACTGTTGGGCGGCACTGACAGGCGCTGATGGGCACTGTTGGACTGCACTGATGGGCACTGTTTGGACTGCACTGATGGGCACTGTTGGGCTGCACTGAATGGGCACTGTTGGGCTGCAGTGATGGCACTATTGGACTGCACTGATGGACACTGTTGGGCTGCGCTGACGGGCACTGTTGGGCTGCAGTGACGGGTGCTGTTATATATATATAATATAAATATATATATATATATTTTTTTTTTTTTTTTTAAATATATGCCTTTGAAAAATATATTTTAATTGACATTTTTGGAATACATGTTAAAATATATTCGTATAGGCCAATATATTGTAAATAGTTGTCGCATTTATATATATATATATATATATAAATATAATATTTCATCTCATTCCATATGGGTGTACTAATGGCACTGGGCAGAGAAGGGGTTAACATAATGGGCAATCAAAGGGTTAACTGTGTGCTGGGAGTGTTTTACTAGGGAGGCAAGCTGATTTGTATTGCTGTGGCCATGCAGAGCCATACAAAGCAGCATGCAGGAGCTGACAGGGGAGAGATCTGTATTGTTTACATACAGACCTCTCCCCGTCAGATGATAGTCGGTGAAAACCGAGTGCCGGCGGGGAATCTCCTGCCAGGACCCGGTGATTGACAGCTGTAGAGCCACCAATGGGGCAGTGCAGGCAGGTGCGCCCCCCTACCCGTAAATACAAAATCACATATATATACATGATTTAGGCGCAGCCCTGCCGCCTTGTGGCAGTAAATTTGTGCTGTAGTAGTGGCGAATGGGAAGCTGTTAAAGGGACTCCAGTCTGTTGCAGGAGCCGGGTGAGCTCAGCGTTGTGCGACTGAGGGGGAGATAGAGCACATTGCGCATGTGAGGTTTTTGGATGAGCCAGAGCGCTCGTTCCACACACAGTGCTTCCGAAGGGGTGGGGGGGTCACTCGTCCGTCCCCTTGAAGTCTGCGGACAGGCCGGGCAGAGGTTGCACATCATATGCTGGGATAATTAAAGCGGAGGTCCAGCGGGAATTAAAAAAAAATAAAAGTCAGCACTACAAAAAAAATTTGTAGCTGCTGACTTTTAAAAAATGGACACTTACCTGTCCCTTGATCCCGCGGTGTCTCTCAAAACCGGACGGGTTGAACCGACTGTGCTGTCTCCTCGGCGCCGGCATCTTCAGCGTGGGCACCTGGCTGTGACAGCTTGCGGCTTACACAGCCGGGTGCCCACTGAGCATGTGCGAGAAGTGCTGCGCTTTGTGAATGGCCCCGTAAGTCTCCTGGGACCTGTCACATTCTCCCAGAAGACTACAGGGAGGGAGGACAACTTCCACTCGCCTCGGCGATCGCAGCAGAAGTGGGAGCGAGTACCTGTCAAATTGGGTACCCACTCCCCAAAGGTGCCAATCCTTAACGGGGAGCGGGGACAAAGACTTAAAGCGGAACTCCCCCTTTTGGGGTGGAACTCCACTTTAACTCTTAGTGTGCCTGCACTTTTTACAAAAGGAACAGAGTTTCCTGGAATTCAGCTTTAATCCTTTCCCACCAGCTCTTTAACCACTTCAAGTCTTGACACTTCCCCCCCCCCCTTCCAGTGCAGACGCTTCCCCCCCCCCCCTTCCAGTACGGCGCTTTCCCCCCCCTTCCAGTACGGGCGCTTTACCCTTCCCCCCCCTTCCAGTCCCGGACCGCTCCCCCCCCCCCCCTTCAGTCCCGACGCTTCGCTCCCCCCCCCCTTCCAGTCCGAACGCTTCCCCCCCCCCCCTTCCAGTCCGGAACGCTTCCGCTTCCCCCCCCCTTCCAGTCCCGGACGCTTCCCCCCCTTCCAGACCCGACGCTTCCCCCCGTCCTTCCAGTCCGGAACGCTTCCCCCCCCCCATCCAGTCCTGAGCGCTCCCCCCACCCCCTTCCGGGCGCTCCCCCCCCCCTTCCAGTCCGGCGCTTCCCCCCCCCCCCCCAGGTCCGGGGCCTTCCCCCCCGCCCATCCCGGGCCGCTTCCCCGCATTCCCCCCCCCCCCCAGTGCCGGGCGCTCCCCCCCCTCCCGCTCCCCCCCCTTCCAGTCCGGACGCCCCCCCTTTCCAGTCCGGACGCTCCCCCCCTCCAGTCCAGAACGCTCCCTCCCCCCCTTCCCGGGAGCGCTTTCCCCCCCCTTCCAGTCCGGGCGCATTTCCCCCCCCTTCCAGTAACGAGCGCTTCCCCCCCCTTCCAGTCCCCGGCCTCCCCCCCTTTCCAGTTCCGGCACGCTCCTCAACACCCCCCGCCTTCCCCGGCACCCTCCCCCCCCTTCCAGTCAGCGGAACGCTTCCCCCCCCCCCTTCCAGTCCGGACGCTTCCCCCCCTTCCAGTCCGGACAGCTTCCCCCCCCCTTCCAGTCCGGAGAGGCTTCCCCCCCTTTCCAGTTCCGGACGCATTCCCCCCCCCCTTCCAGTCCGGGACCGCTTCCCCCCCCTTCCAGTCCGGACGCTTTCCCCCCCTTCATCCGGACGGACGCTTCCCCCCCCTTCCAGTCCGGGACGCTCCCGTCCCCCCCCCTTCCAGTCCGCCTCCCCCCCCCCTCCAGGGCGCTGCCTCCGGACCGCTTCACCCCCTTCCAGTGCGGACGCTTTCCCCCCGCTTCCCCGCCTTCCCCCCCCTTCCATCCGGGCGCTCCCCCCCACCCCCCTTGCGGGCGCTTTTCCCCCCCCCCTTCCAGTGCGGGCGCTTCCCCCCCCCCTTGCCAGTGCGTGCGCCTTCCCCCCCACTTCCAGTGCGGGGCGCTTCCCCCCCCTTCCCCGTGCGGGCGCTCCTCCCTCCTTCCAGTGCGAGCGCTCCCCCCCTTTCCAGTCCCCGGACGCTCCCTCTCCCCCCTTCCAGTCCGAACGCTTTCCCCCCCCCAGTCCGAACGCTTTCCCCCCCTTCCAGTCCGAACGCTTTCCCCCCCTTCCAGTCCGGGGCGCTCCCCCCCCCCTTCCAGTGCGGAGCTCCTCCTCCCCCCCCTTCCAGATGCGGCGCGCTCCCCCCCCTTCCAGTGCGGGCACGCTCCCCCCCCCCTTCCAGTGCGTGCTGCTCCCCCCACCCCCCCCCCCCCTTCCAGTGCAGGGCGCTTTCCCCCCCCCCTTCCAGTGCGGGCGCTCCCCCCCCTTCCAGTGCGAGCGCTCCCGACTCCCCCCCTTCCAGTGGCGAGCGCTCCCCCCCTTCCAGTCCCCGGACGCTTCCCCCCCCCCTTCCAGATCCGGACGCTTCCCCCCCTTCCAGTCCGGTAACGCTTCCCCCCCCCTTCCAGTCCGGGCGCTCCCCCCCCCTTCCAGTGCGGGCGCTTCCCCCCCCCTTCCAGTGCGGGCGCTTCCTTCCCCCCCTTCCAGTGCTGGCGCGCCTCCCCCCCCTTCCAGTGCGAGCGCATCCCCCACTTTTCCCCCCCGGACAGCTCCCCTTCCCCCCCTTCCAGTCCCGAACGCTCCCTCCCCCCCTTCCAGTCCGGACGCTCATTTCCCTCCCCCCCTTCCAGTCCGGGCGCTTTCGCCCCCCCTTCCAGTCCAGGGCGCTTCCCCCCCCCCTTCCAGTCCGGTGCGCTTCCCCCCCCTTCCAGTGCCGGGCGCTCCCCCCCCTTCCAGTGCGGGCGCTCCCCCCCCCCTTCCAGTGCGGGCGCTCCCCCCCCCCCAGTGCCGCTCCCCCCCCCCTTCCAGTGCGGGCGCTCCCCCCCCCCCCCTTCCAGTCCGGACGCTCCCTCCCCCCTTCCTTCCGACGTCCGGACGTCCCTCCCTCCCCCCCTTCCAGTCCGAACGCTCCCCTCCCCCCCTTCCAGTCCGAACGCTTTCCCCCCCTTCCAGTCCGGGTGCTTTTTCCCCCCCTTCCAGTCCGGGCGCTTTCCCCCCCTTCCAGTACGGGCGCTTCCCCCCTTCTTCCAGTACGGGCGCTTTCCCCCCCCCCCCTTCCAGTACGGGCGCTTTCCCCCCCCCTTCCAGTACGGGCGCTTCCCCCCCCCCCTTCCAGTACGGGCGCTTTCCCCCCCCCCCTTCCAGTACGGGCGCTTTCCCCCCCCCCTTCCAGTGCGGGCGCTTCCCCCCCCCTTCCAGTACGGACGCTCCCCCCCCCCCTTCCAGTACGGGCGCTTTCCCCCCCCCTTTCAGTACGGGCGCTTCCCCCCCTTCCGGTGCGGGCGCTTTCCCCCCCTTCCGGTGCGGGCGCTTTCCCCCCCCTTCCGGTGCGGGCGCTTTCCCCCCCCTTCCAGTGCGGGCGCTTTCCCCCCCTTCCAGTGCGGGCGCTTTCCCCCCCTTCCAGTCCGGACGCTTTCCCCCCCTTCCAGTCCGGACACTTTCCCCCCCTTCCAGTCTGGACACTTTCCCCCCCTTCCAGTCTGGACACTTTCCCCCCCTTCCAGTCCGGACACTTTTCCCCCCCTTCCAGTCTGGACACTTTCCCCCCCTTCCAGTCTGGACACTTTCCCCCCCCCTTCCAGTCCGGACACTTTTTTCCCCCTTCCAGTCTGGACACTTTCCCCCCCTTCCAGTCCGGACACTTTCCCCCCCTTCCAGTCCGGACACTTTTTTCCCCCTTCCAGTCCGGACACTTTTCCCCCCCCTTCCTGCCCAGGCCAATTTTCAGCTTTCAGTGCTATCACACTTTGACAATTGCGCGGTCATGCAACATTGTACCCTTATGAATTTTTTTTGAGACATATAAAGCTTTATTTTGGTGGTATTTATTCACCGCTGGGATTTTAATTTTTTTTGCTATGTAAATGAAAAAGTCCAAAAATTTTGAAAAAAATTATAAAATTTTGCAAATAAATATTTCATCATAAATCTTGGCCAAAATTTATTCAGTTATCTTATTGGTTTATAAACTAATTTGTGTTATTTTTTTTTTTTTAACAAAAATTATAATTAAAAAAAAAAATTTACATTTTTATTTAATTTTTTCTTTTTTTTTTTTTTTTTTTTTTTTACATACTCTCACCCTAGCGGCAGAGTGCCACCATAGTGACACTGTACTACTTGTGGGGGGTGATGAAGATTTTTTGTTTTTACACTGATTGCTTTTACACCCATAAAGGATGTAAAAGCAATCATTTCTCTCTGTCTGCATTCTTGCAGCCATTGAGAAATACTGTGTGAGCTGTGATTGGTCACAGCTTCTCACATGGTACAAGGCTGTTGTGAATAGCCCTGTACCATGTGACCTCTGTGATCATTCACAGATTTCACACGTAGTAAGCAATGATCTCAGAAGTGACATCTTGCTTGCATGTGATCACTGATTGGCCAATCAGTGATCACATAATCAGGACCTCGCAGAGAGGTCCCGTACGACGATCTGTGTTCCACTGTGTCCGGAGGACACAGCGGGCACCGGATCGCGTTGCTGCACGCTCCCCGGGAGCGTGCACAAGCAGAGGGCGGCGGGGAGGACATTTATAAACGGCCATCCATCCCTGCACTGCCACCATCCGGCCGTTTATCTACAACGGCCGGACAGGAGGTGGTTAAGAGCTCACAACGCTGAAGCCATTATATGGGCTTTCCGATCATGTGATCGCTCTCATTGGCTCAGGTGCATGAAATTACGGCCGCCGTAATAGTTTATTTTCCCCGCCCATTGACGCCCACACTGAAGTTGCCGGGGAGAGAAGACGGCCGGTGAAACCAGCGGTGGTGAGGACACCCGCTGGACCGAGGGACAGGTAAGTGGCCTGCATTTTAAAAGTCAGCAGCTACAGTTTTTGTAGCTGCTTTTTTTTTTTTTTTTTTTTTTTTTTTTTTATTGCAGCTGGAACTGTAAGCCCAAGGAGGTGCATGATATCTTCTGGGCTTATCTATTATTTATTTACCTCTGACATTTCTTTTGCACTCCTGGAAGACATTTTTGAAGATCTAAGCATCTTAAATGTTGTTGCAACTGCTATGCCTGTCCTTCTCCTTTTGCCCAATCACAGAAGCCTTTGTTTTGTGTGAACTCACTCACAAACTACAAAGGCTTCTCTGAATGGACAGCAGAGGGGAGGGACGGGGAATAGCTGCGCTGTGTGCCTCTCTCTCATCTCTCACAACCCCGAGTAGCCATAACCCAGTCAGATATAAATAATAGAGATAAGTTCAGGAGATGTTGTGAAAAACGATGACAACGCGTTTTCGTGTGCGCGCGCTTTTTCAAGTCATGGCATGACGCCTCTTCTGTACAGCCTTACTGCCACACGAATGAATATGTAGGTGGGGATTGACATCCCACGTTACTATTGATGCTTATTGTTTTTTTAGGCTGACTATTGGCCGTGATGGATGTCAAATAAACACCTTGTTGTCAAGAGTGACTGCCATTTTCCCTGCAACAGTTTGACATATAGGTTGGCTAATATCAAGATAATTTAATTAGGAACCCTTAAGCGATTTGGATCATTGTTTGTTTTTCTTGCCTGTCTTTCCATGTCCCAGCGGCTTACCTAAGGCAGCTCTGGATGTTCCTTTGATTCTTACCAAGGCTATATTCGGTATCGGTGCATACGGATCATGGCGCCGGGCTTTATTGGATTTCTCAGGAGATGTCATGCACCTCCTTGGACTTACCCGTATTTTTCGCTCCATAAGACGCACCTAGGTTTTAAAAGAGGAAAACGACAAAAAAAATATTATGAACCAATGGACTGCAGACATACTACAGGAGATGACCAGAGACTGCGGACACAGTACAGGAGATGACCAGAGACTGCGGACACAGTACAGGAGATGACCAGAGACTGCGGACACAGTACAGGAGATGACCAGAGACTGCGGACACAGTACAGGAGATGACCAGAGACTGCGGACACAGTACAGGAGATGACCAGAGACTGCGGACACAGTACAGGAGATGGTCAGAGACTGCGGACACAGTACAGGAGATGACCGGAGACTGCGGACACAGTACAGGAGATGGTCAGAGACTGCGGACACAGTACAGGAGATGACCAGAGACTGCGGACACAGTACAGGAGATGGTCAGTGACTGCAGACACAGTACAGGGGATGACCAGAGACTGCAGACACAGTACAGGAGATGACCAGAGACTGCGGACACAGTACAGGAGATGACCAGAGACTGCGGACACAGTACAGGAGATGACCGGAGACTGCGGACACAGTACAGGAGATGACCGGAGACTGCAGACACAGTACAGGAGATGGTCAGAGACTGCAGACACAGTACAGGAGATGGTCAGAGACTGCAGACACAGTACAGGAGATGACCAGAGACTGCAGACACAGTACAGGAGATGACCGGAGACTGCGGATGTAGTACAGGAGATGACCGGAGACTGCGGACACAGTACAGGGGATGGTCAGAGACTGCGGACACAGTACAGGGGATGGTCAGAGACTGCAGACACAGTACAGGGGATGGTCAGAGACTGCAGACACAGTACAGGAGATGGTCAGAGACTGCAGACACAGTACAGGAGATGACCGGAGACTGCAGACACAGTACAGTAGATGACCAGAGAGACTGCAGACACAGTACAGTAGATGACCAGAGACTGCAGACACAGTACAGGAGATGACCAGAGACTGCGGACACGGTACAGGAGATGACGGAGACTGCGGACACGGTACAGGGGGGGATGACCAGAGACTGCGGACATGGTACAGGAGATGACCAGAGACTGCGGACATAGTACAGGAGATGACCAGAGACTGCGGACATAGTACAGGAGATGACCAGAGACTGCGGACATAGTACAGGAGATGATCAGAGACTGCGGACATAGTACAGGAGATGACCAGAGACTGCGGACACGGTACAGGGGATGACCAGAGACTGCGGACATAGTACAGGAGATGACCAGAGACTGCGGACATAGTACAGGAGATGACCAGAGACTGCGGACATAGTACAGGAGATGACCAGAGACTGCGGACATAGTACAGGAGATGACCTGAGACTGCGGACATAGTTCAGGAGATGACCGGAGACTGAGGACTCAGTACAGGAGATGACCGGAGACTGCGGACACAGTACAGGAGATGACCAGAGACTGCGGATAGTACAGGAGATGACCGGAGACTGCGGATAGTACAGGAGATGACCGGAGACTGCGGACACAGTGCAGGAGATGACCAGAGACTGCAGACACAGTACAGGGGATGGTCAGAGACTGCAGACACAGTACAGGAGATGACCAGAGACTGCAGACATAGTACAGGAGATGACCAGAGACTGCGGACACAGTACAGGAGATGACCAGAGACTGACAGACATTTCCCCCCTATTTTTTTGGGGGGGGAAAGTTTGTCATATGGAGCAGAAAAATACAGTAACTCACTTTTTACAAAATGGCTGAATTTCTGGGATTTAGCTTTAAAGTTACTTGGAAAAAGAAAATTTGTTTACAAAAAGTCTGCAAAAGAAGATTCCTAAGACTTCTCTCACAGTAGAATATAGTACAGTGAGTGATAGTTGTCAGCATAGGACAGGAAGTATGTTTCTGGCAGGATCACCAGGTAAAAACCAAAGGGGAAAAAAAGCTTAAAAAGAAAACGAATGCAGCCACCACATCTAAGGACTAGTGATCTGCAATATATTGTGTTTTGGGGTTTATGTCCACTTTAAATACAGAGTAGTGGGTTAGGATTGGCTGTATTCTGTGTGGGTTATTGAAGTCAATTTGTAACTTCCCTTGAGGGGGGCGCTGTCCTGCTGCTATAGGGTAGAGGTCAAAGTGAACCAAAGGGAAGTGAACTGATTTACTGCTTACAGGGTGGCTGTTCTGTGCAAAGTCACGTGTATAAACGTCATTTTGCATTTCTGCCACAGGGGGCGCGTGCCTGCCGCCGGAGAGCTGCTTCTGCTGTGATTGGACACAGCAGAAGTCGATCAACAGTTGCTGGCCGGTAGATGAGCAACGGCACCCGTTGATCGCCGAGGGCAGCTGACATAACACAGCTCTGATTATGTAAACAAAGCAGAATTGTGTTATGTCCACAGCGATCTGCTAGGTTTTTATTCAGGGAATAAATTATAGCAGATCGCCAAGTAAAAACAGGTGATGGCCGGTAGATGAGCAACGGCACCCATTGATCGCCGAGGACGCTGACATAACACAGCTCTGATTATGTAAACAAAGCAGAGTTGTGTTGTGTCCACAGCGATCTGCTAGGTTTTATTCAGGGAATAAATTCTAGCAGATCGCCTAGTAAAAACAATGCACACAAAAACACTGGTTAGGCTCACAATTAACCCTTTGATCACCCTAGATATTTAACCCCTTCCCAGCCAGTGACAGTGTATTTTTTTAGCACTGATCACTGCATTAATGTCACTGGTTCCCACAAAGTGTCAGTTAGTGTCAGATTGTGCGCCGCAATATCGCAGTCCCGCTATAAGTTGCTTATCGCCGCCATTACTAGTATTTCATTAACAACCTATATCTTTTGCACATACAATCAGTATATACACTTATTGGGCTTTTTGTAACAAAAATATGTAACTGAAAACATTTTGGCCTAAATTTATGAAAAAATTTGATTTTTTTAAAAAAATTTTATTGGATATGTTTTTATATGCGAAAGTATATTGTTTGTTTTTAATCACTTCCTATCCGGCCCATGTACATAAATGGCCGGACGGGAGCATGTACATAAATGGCCGGACGGGAGCAGTGCAGGAGCGGTTTGCCGTTCATAAACGGAACCCGCATTTTCAGCCAATGCGTACTCCCTGGGAGAACACCAATCACTGTATGGGACCTCTGTGTGAGGTCCCGATCATGTGATCACTGATCGGCCAGTCAGTGATCACATGAAGAGTGGTAAGCGAGATGTCACTTCTGACGTCATTGCTTACTACGTGTGAAATTTGTGAATGATCACAGAGGTCACATGGTACAGGGCTATTCACAACAGCCCTATACCATGTGACAAGCTGTGACCAATCACAGCTCACTCAGTATTTCACAATGGCTGCAAGAATGCAGCCAGAGAGAAGGAGACATGATTGCTTTGACAGCCTTTATGGGTGTAAAAGCAATCCGTGTAAAAAAAAAAAAAGAACTTCTTCATCACCCCCCACAAGTAGTAGTGTCACTATGGTGACACTGCACTGCTAGGGTGACAGTATGTATAAATAAAAAACAATATAAAAAAAATTAAATAAACATGAAAAACAAATTTTTTTTTAAAATATAATTTTTGGTTATAAAATAATTTGGATTTTTTTTTGCTAAAAATATAACTGAATAAATTTTGGTCAATATTTATGAAGAAAGATTATTTATGTGCAAAATTTTATAAGAAAAACAATTTTTTTTTCAAAATTTTTGGACTTTTTCATTTATATAGCAAATAAAAAAAAAATCCCAGTGGAGAATAAATACCACCAAAATAAAGTTTTATCTGTCTCAAAAAAATGCTAAAAAAGTCATATGGGTACAGTGTTGCATGACCGCGCAATTGTCATTCAAAGTGTGATAGCGCTGAAAGCTGAAAATTGGCCTGGACAGGAGGGGGGGGGGGGGGGGGGGGAGTGTCCGGACTGGAAGGGGGGTGAAAGCGTCCGGACTGGAAGGGGGGGTGAAAGCGTCCGGACTGGAAGGGGGGTGAAAAGCGTCCGGACTGGAAGGGGGGTGAAAGCGTCTGGACTGGAATGGGGGGAAGTGTCCGGACTGGAAGGGGGGAAAGTGTCCGGACTGGAAGGGGGGGGAAAGGGGGGGAAAGGAAAGCGGACTGGAAGGGGGGGAAAGCGTCCGGACTGGAAGGGGGTGAAAGCGTCCGGACTGGAAGGGGGGGAAAGCGTCCGGACCGGACTGGAAGGAAGGGGAGAAAAGCGTCCGGACTGGAAGGGGGGGAAAGTGTCCGGACTGGGAAGGGGGGGAAAGCGTCCGGACTGGAAGGGGAAAGTGAAAGCGTCCGGACTGGAAGGGGGTGAAAGTGTCCGGACTGGAAGGGGTAAATGTCGGTGATTTTTCATTTACAGCGCAAAAAATAAATGCAGAGGGGACCAAAAACCACTAAAAGAAACCTGTTTTTTGGGAAAAAAAATGACCTACATTTTATTTATGTACAGCGTTGCATGACCTTGCAATTGTCAGTTAAAGTAACGCAGCTTCGTATCGCAGAAAATGCCCTGGTCAGGAGGGGGGGGGGGTTAAATATTCCGGAGAGCAAGGGGTTAAATGCAGAGACGTGGGTTAGGGTTGGGAGTTAATGAAGGCAATACTTAACTTAAACTGAGGGGGGCGCTGTCCTCGGCTTATAGTTTACCACAGACCATAGCCCAGAGTCTCACAGATGTCTCCTTTCTCCTGCAGTAAAAAAGCCGCAAACCGTCCATCGGGGAGCTGATATTACGGCACACCAACAGCCCAACTCGAGCGAGGCAAGCCGCACAAATGGCCTTTCAGCACGTCCGGGACGGGCAGGTCCTGCACGCACTTTCCGGGACATCCATCTTCAAGTCGTCGGCGGAAAAGCAGAACGAGGCGCTGCGAGTCAAGAATGCTGTGTACTGCGCAGTAATATTCACCGAGTTCATGAAGGAGCTGGCGGCCATAACGCAGGAGCACGCCGTCACTTCGCCGTACCTTCCGGCGGACACGGAGGAGTGAATGGGGCCTCCAAAATGAAACATCAGTTCAGGTGCACTCCATGCAGTGCATTGGCCTGCAGTTGGCGGGTGCTGCAGTGACGAAACAACGGATGGCGCCATCATAAGACGAATCGCGTGTCATCAGCTCAGCAAAACTACTTAACTATGTGGGCTTTTGTCACGTGGAGGATAGCAGTGTTTTGGAGCTGCAGGTCAACGCCTTCATCAGGCAACAGTCCTAAAATAGCACCCAAAGGCCAATCCTGAGCTGTCCAAAGATAGTCCCACCCACCACCAAATGACAAAAAAAAAAAAAAAACATTGGCTCCCTTTGACCTGACTCATCACCTCCACCGGTTAAGGTGCCTTTTGAGTTGGTTGCTTCAGCACCACCAAACGACAACAAACATTGGCTCCCTTTGACCTGACTCGTCACCTCCATCGGTTAAGGTGCCTTTTGAGTTGGTTGCTTCAGCACCACCAAACGACTACAAATATTGGCTCCCTTTGACCTGACTCATCACCTCCACCAGTTAAGGTGCCTTTTGAGTTGGTTGCTTCAGCACCACCAAACAACAACAAATATTGGCTCCCTTTGACCTGACTCGTCACCTCCGGTAAAGGTGCCTTTTGAGTTGGTCGCTTCAGCATCACCAAACGACAACAAACATTGGCTCCCTTTGACCTGACTCATCATCTCCACCGGTTAAGGTGCCTTTTGAGTTGGTTGCTTCAGCAGTGACTCATCACCTCCACTGGTTAAGGTGCCTTTTGAGTTGGTTGCTTCAGCAGCACCAAATGACAACAAACATTGGCTCCCTTTGACCTGACTCGTCACCTCCACTGGTTAAGGTTGCTTTTTTGAGTTGGTTAAGGTGCTTTTGAGCTTCAGCCACCAAACAACAACAAACATTGGCTCCCTTTGACCTGACTCGTCACCTCCGGTAAAGGTGCCTTTTGAGTTGGTCGCTTCAGCATCACCAAACGACAACAAACATTGGCTCCCTTTGACCTGACTCATCACCTCCACCGGTTAAGGTGCCTTTTGAGTTGGTTGCTTCAGCAGCACCAAATGACAACAAACATTGGCTCCCCTTTGACCTGACTCATCACCTCCACTGGTTAAGGTGCCTTTTAAGGTGCCTTTTGAGTTGGTTGCTTCAGCAGCACCAAATGACAACAAACATTGGCTCCCTTTGACCTGACTCGTCACCTCCACTGGTTAAGGTGCCTTTTGAGTTGGTCTCTTCAGCACCACCAAATGACTACAAACATTGGCTCCCTTTGACCTGACTCGTTACCTCCTCCGGTTAAGGTGCCTTTTGAGTTGGTCGCTTCAGCACCACCAAACAAACAACAACAAACATTGGCTCCCTTTGACCTGACTCGTCACTTCCGCCCGTTAAGGTTCCTCTTGAGTTGGTCACTTCAGCACCACCAAACGACAACAAACATTGGCTCCCTTTGACCTGACCTGTTCAGCTGGTCGCTTCAGCAATGCTCCATAACTTCTGCAACGCATTGGTTATTTAAGTTTTTTGAGCTCGTTCATCACCCCTGTTGCCACACCATCAACATATTCTTTCATTTGTAGGCCTCTATGTTTAGTGCTAGATTGCAATAAACTTTATTGGCATCAGACAAACTCTGTTAGGGTTCTTCTCCCCCCACCAGACACGATTCTGCCACAATAAGCTCTCTCCCATTGACTTTGTCTTTATTGAGGTGTCTTCTCCTCCACCAGACAAGATTCTGCCCTTTTCACCTAATAAGGGCTTAGTCATTTGGTTCTTTATATTTGTATGGGCGGCGGTGATTGCTGTATAGCTAAGCCAATGTTTGTTGTCTTGGGTGGGACTGCCTTTTTTTGGGGGGGTTCATAATAAGCTTTATTGGCATCATACACACTCCACCAGGAATCTTCTTCCCCACCAGACAATATTCCACCCCTTTCAGGGAATACAGGCTTAGTTATGGGGGTTCTTTAATTTGTAGGAGCGTTGGTGGTTGCTGTATAACTAAGCCAATGTTTGTTGTCTTGGGTGGGACTGCCATTTTTGAGGGGGACGGGTTCACAATAAACTTTATTGACATCAGACAAGCTCCATTAGGCATCTCCCCCCTTCCCCACCAGAGAAGATTCCACCACTTTCATCTGATAAGGGCTTAGTGATAGGGTACATTTATTGGGCATTGGTGATTGCTCTTTAGCCAAGCCAACTGTTCGTTGTCTTGAGGGATTACCTTTTTTTTTGGGAAGTGGTTCGCTCTGGGTTTTATTGCCTGATGAAGGAATCCCCTTGCAGCTCCAAAATGTCGCCATCCTTTATGGGCCAAAGCTTACGTTGGGTCTACGGCCACACCACCCCGATTGCACTCAATCTCTTCTGATTTTGGAAACTAAGCAGGGAAGGACCTGGTCAGTGATTAGATGGGAGATGAAGTTCACGGTGGGTCTAAGGCCACACTACTCCAAATGCACGCCCGATCTCTTCTGATTCCGGAAGCTAAGCAGGGTCAGACCTGGTCAGTGATTAGATGGGAGATGAAGTTCACGGTGGGTCTAAGGCCACACTACTCCAAATGCACGCCCGATCTCTTCTGATTCCGGAAGCTAAGCAGGGTCAGACCTGGTCAGTGATTAGATGGGAGATGAAGTTCACGGTGGGTCTAAGGCCACACTACTCCAAATGCACGCCCGATCTCTTCTGATTCCGGAAGCTAAGCAGGGTCAGACCTGGTCAGTGATTAGATGGGAGATGAAGTTCACAGTGGGTCTAAGGCCACACTACTCCAAATGCACGCCCGATCTCTTCTGATTCCGGAAGCTAAGCAGGGTCAGACCTGGTCAGTAATTGGATGGGAGACCAAGGTCACGTTGGTGTGCTGATGACATTCAGCGTGTGTCCTCTGGTGCAGAACATTTTAGGATGATGTCTCCTGTGTAGCGGCAGAGGCCACCGGATGACCTCTCTTCTGGATTTACAGAGCGGCCAAAGCCTGGAGCGGCCATCCGTTGTTTCCCAAAATTCAGCTGGTCTGTAGAGACACAACCCGATCCAGCTGAGAACGTCGGACAAACGCGGCAAAGGAGACGTAGACTCCAATCCGAGACCTCTTCCTGTGGATGTCCCTGAATTCCCAGCTGGAACTGACCCCGCCGACATCTATTCGATAACAGGAAGCTGTTTTGTTTTTTTTTTTTTTTGTTTTTTTAACTTATTTAAGTGGCAGTGTGTTCTGAAGGGCAGTGCGTCCTTGTGTATGTATATATCTGTATGTACATGTGTGTATATATATATATACATCTATTTATACGTACACCACCATGCGTATACTGCACCCTACATTTCATTTAGGGCATTGTGTATATAGCTCGAGAAATTCAGCCCACTGGAGTTCTAGAAGATCCAGTTTTAACGGTTCACTTTTTCGGGGTGCCCTCAGACCCGTCAGCTCCACCAGTTGGCACCCCGTTATAGCTAGCTCTTTTAGCGTCACTGACATATGTGTCTTATCGCACCAGTTTCTGGGTGTCTACTCGCCTATCCTTTAGCGTCACCCAAAAAAAAAAAAAAAAAATGTGATCGTAGATTGGGTGATTGTTCGATCAGTTATCGCGTTATCCTGTGTGTGCCCCCTGTGCGTTCCCCAAATGTCTTTGCTCCTCGGAGACTTACCTGACCATGATTGGTTTTCTGTGTTGCAGCCTTTTTTTTTATTTTTTTTTTTTTAATTTTTTTTAACCACTTCATGGCATTGATAGCTCCTAGATACAGGGATGTTCCCTGGTCTGCTCCCGCTCACCACCCTGACATCATTTACCATGGCTCCCCTGGGGGAAGGGGGAATCCTTCACGGTACCATAAGAGCTGTAGAGTTGCTCGGATCACTTTTACTAGGTAACTAGGACCCAGCTGAAGAAAATGGTACCAGGCTCATGGCTGCTGCTTGTTTTAGGCTAGGTCAGGGGTGGGCAACTGTGGCCCTCCAGCTGTTGGTGAGCTACAAGTCCCATCGTGCCTCTGCCTTTGGGAGTCATGCTTGTAACTGTCAGTTTTGTAATGCCTCATGGGACTTGTAGTTCTGCAACAGCTGGAGGGCCACAGTTGCCCACCCCTGGGCTAGGTTCACACTATAATTCTCCTGTGAATGTGATTCAGCGCAGTGCAGTTTGAACCCATTCATTCTGAATGGGCTAAAACCGCACCGCATTTTACGTGGCATGCACTACTTTTGGAAACGGATCACGTGGTACTTTTTGTACAATGCGATCCGACACAAGGCAAACGCACGTCGTTCACATTGCAACACCCGCTGCAGATGGCGAGGGCGGTGCATTTTGATCACGGTGCAGGTTTCCCACACCCGTTTTTTAGTGTGAACCAGTTGAGTTCAAGCCTGTTTAACCAGTTACCATCCACAGGCCATTTACAAAGTGTTAGCTAACCTGTAAAAGAAAAAAAAATTAAAAAGTGAACGAACGTAGTACCGCCTCCTCACCCCCCCCCCCCCCCCCCGGTCCCCGCTGTACTTCTGGGGATGCTGAGCTGTCTGTGCGCATGCAGCCAAACCAGTGGTCTGGAGATTTGAAATCCCCTCTCTTCTCCTTGCAGGACTTTTGGGATGGTCCAGATTCTGATTGGTCAGCGCTTGCACAGTCAATCACTCTGGTTTGTCCCGGGGTGGGGCAGGGACGGGCAACCGCGGCCTTGCAGATGGGAACGAAGTCCCATCGTGCCTCTGCCCAGCTGTCAGTTTTCCATGATGCCTCTGAGAGTCATGCTTGTAACTGTCAGTCTTGCAATGCAACAGGCAGTTCCACAACAGCTGGAGGGCCGCACTTGCCCGCCCCCGCTGTACGGTGTTCACTTTTTCATTTTTTTTTCTGTTACGGTGATTTAACGCTTTCCCGGAGGTTTTAGGCCAGGGGTGTCAAACTGGCAAAAACTACAAGTCCCATCATGCCTCTGCCTTTGCGAGTCACGCTTGGAACTGTCAATCTTGCAATGCCTCATG